TTGTTTACGTTTTTATTTGACTGATGACAGTTTATTAATGAACGACGCAAAAAGTATGAAATGCTACACCAAATTTTACCTGTGTCCTATTTTAACGTTGGCCGGACGTTTTTCTAATACCTCTATCTAACCTTATGATTGGTCGTGTCAGACGACGTTTTCAAAACGTTTCAGAGATCGCCGGATATGAAGATAACGACGGATTGACGTGTTCAATGCAACGTTGAATTTGGTACAATATTATGACGTCCATTTTACGATTTTTATCTTACCTTATGATTGGCCGTATTAGACAACGTTCAAAAAATGTTTCAGAGGTCACAAGTATATAAGAGGACGACGGATTGACGTTATCAATTTAACGTTAAAACTGGTTTCCATTTATTACGTCAAAATTGAGCTAGATAAAGGTCCGACTTCTTGACCACATATTAAGGACGACGGCACGACGTAATTTCAACGAAAAATCATTGACGGACACTTATCTGCACTTCAGGCGACGTCGTATTTGGTTAATACGTAGTCGCAGGGACTTGGGTACTAGCTAGCTACCAATTAGGTTACATTCCCACTAGCTGGCGGGATGTGAATGTGGTCTTCATTCTAAAGGCTGGTAAGCGTCCTACAGTACAGCTCAAATCATTCAGAACCATTGACCTACCTACACATAAGGAGTGAATTCCTTATGGAATAAGCTCGTTCCAAAAGACTCAATTTGCCTATGAGCCAGTAGGTAAATCAACTGAGACAGCCCTACACAGTCTCGTCACCATAAGACTGAAATCGATCAAGGCGAAAAATCGCTCCTATGCGCATTTCATTCGACAACTCACAAGAATACATGAGAAGAGCAGCTAGAAATAAGGGCTTTGACGAAACTCCAATTGCTAAATGCTTGAGTAGAAAAAGAAAATCAAAGCAACTATTGGAAGTGACTTTGCAAACGGACTCAGCAAGGGATAACCCCAAAAGAAAAGGGTGTACTTTTCCCACTGCTGATGTGGTCACTGCCTGTGTACTCGGCCTGGTACTATATATGAACTTTTCTACCCGCTGAACGCCCAAGGGATCAGAGTCCTAGGATACGCTGACTGTCGCTGACGACCTCACAGTCATCATTAGGGGTAAGCATGACAGGATCATTGGTGACCTCATGTAAAATGCCCTAAATAACATTATTAGATAGTGTCTACAAGAGAGTATAAGCGTCCACCCCAACAAAACGATAATGGGGTAGTATACTATATGAAAATTAGTAAAATAGCGATATTATTCTATAGGCTAAATGGTGATGGTATAGTGGGATACTGAATTATTTTCCAGCACAGTGTCTATAGAATTAGTCAGAGAAGAGCAATCTGAAATTTGAATTTAGCGCCACAGCGGCGACCAATAGTATTCGAGCCGCTGACCATCTGGCAACGCTGTTCTAAATGCCTCTAAACGACAGCTGACTCCAACAGTTCAACGACGTGTGGTTATCGTGTGACATGTGACATTGTCACAGTAACTTTGTTTACGTTGTTTGATGTAGTAAACTTGACGTTTCGTTCTTGACGGTCAACGCACTGCAAATTGACCTTTTGTTTGGACGCCATATTGCGGTGCGCGAACATAGTTGCCAAAAGTAGGAAAAAAAAAATACTAGCGTACTGTCAACATTAAAAACAAAAGCTACTGAATAGATTACATTTAAAATTTGAATTTGCCGCCTATTACGAATGTTTTTGAAAAGAAAAGCCATCAATTTTAGCTTGTATTGGGCAGAATAAAAATAATAGAATATCTACCTATTTACTTTCATCAATCAGAGAAAGAAAGTAAACAAACAAAAAGGATAGCGAGGATCAATCATTTAGTTACTTTTGTTTTTAATGTTGACCACTCGCTAATAATTTTTGTTTTCTTCTTTTGGCAACTATGTTCGCGCACCGCAATATGGCGTCCAAACAAAAGGTCAATTGACCTTGTGTGAACATAGTTGCCAAAAGAAGAAAACAAAAATTACTAGCGGGCTGTCAACATTGAAAACAAAAGTAACTAAATGATTGATCCTTGCTATCCTTTTTGTTTGTTTACTTTCTCTCTCTGATTGATGAAAGTAAATAGGTAGATATTCTATTATTTCTATTCTGCCCAATACAAGCTAAAATTGATGGCTTTTCTTTTCAAGAACATTCGTAATAGGCGGCAAATTCAAATTTTAAATGTAATTTATTCAGTAACTTTTTGTTTTAATGTTGACAGTACGCTAGTAATTTTTTTTTCTTCTACTTTTGGCAACTATGTTTGCGCATCGCAATATGGCGTCCAAACAAAAGGTCAATTATTGTGCCTTCTCAAAATCGTGATGTGTTGCCAGATTGGAAAAAACTACGTCACGAACTTTTATTTTCACGTAGGGACGGGGCTGAGAGGAAATTTAAAAAGCAAAATTCTAGTGTATTGTGGTTTTTACAAAGCAACTGATTACACTAAATAGTACGACACGTCGAGTATATCACTACGCAGTAGTTAAAAATCACTTGTATACTACCCCATTGTGCCTTTTACAAGGAAAAGGAGGCTAAATGTAAATGGGATACATATTAACTTCCCAAGTGAGTAAGTATCTGGGAGTCATCTTGGATAGGAAACTTACTTGGAACCGACATTTTGAAAGAGTAACCGACCGGGCAATAGCCGCATACTGGACATGTCGGAGATTATACAGCAAGACTTGGGGTCTAAAGCCTATTGGTTATTTATAACGGTTATAAAGACCCATGGTCACTTACGCTGCAATAGTATGGTGGGTAAAAGTAAAACAACAGAGAGCGCAAGACCGATTAACAACTGTACAAAGGTATATGCATGTCTTGGAATTACAGGTCCAACCGCCGCAATATGGTCATGTTGGAGCTCCCCTCACTAGATATAATAGTGAGGCCTACAAGAGCCACGAAAATAATACAGTCCCTAAAACTAAAGGGAGGGGATTGTCGGCCACATGAGCATTATGAAAGAATGGATAAATGTGACCAAACCAGTTGACCACATGCAACAAATGTACGAATTTAAATACTCCATCAAAGTGACTATGGCCTTCAATAGTCACTTTGATGGAGTATTTGAAGGGAGAAAACATAGTAGGTACCTGTAGTCCCGAACGGGTCATCTGTCTGGTATACAGACGGATTGAAAACAGAGCAAGGGACTGGAGCCCCCTCTGTACGGCCCACTTTGTAGACTATCAACAGCCCTAGGAGAAAGCCCAACCATATTTAAAGAGGAAGTAGGTATTTGCAATAGAACTTTGCGCTAGGAAGTGTCTCGAAAGAGACCTAAGAAGATCTATATCAATTCCGACAGTCGGGCAGCACTAAGAGCTCTTAGTAGCTCTGTCACTAAGTCCAGACTGGTATGGGACTGCCAACAACTCCTATTAGTAACTGGCTTCTCGCAATAGCATGGGTACGAGGCCACCAAGGAGTCAAGGGGAATGAAATAGCGGACCAGCTTGCAAGACAAGGAGCTGCAGCACCATTCTTTGGACCAGAACCTCTCTTTGGTATTACGAAAAGCCATATAATGAGGAAGTCCAGAATTAGGTAAAGGCTCAAAAAATCTCCCCCTGAAAAACGTTTCCAGGACTTGGACAGGCGAAACAATTCATCTCGCACCAGTCAATTAAGGCAAAGTTTTTCTGCGGAACACATAGGTACCTATATTGCAACTGCTAGGCATTGTGCCTTTGCCTTAAGGCCGTTTTACAGCTTGCAAGGAAACTTGAATGCAATTTTTTGCATGCAAAAAATTGCATTCATGATTTCTTGCACGTCGTTTTACACCTTGCAATTTAACTTGTTTCCTTCTCTAACCTCAACCATACTTTTTTGTTTTCAATTTTGTGTTGTTGATGTTTGCATTTTTCAAAAATGAAAAAAGTTATTATAAGTCGATATGAAAAAAAGAAAACAATAGCAGCTACTTAGGCATCATAATTGCTAAAAATTCCCCAACTTGCGGGAAAACCTTCAAGAAAAATGGCACCAAACCGATTGCATGCAATGCCATTCAAGTTTCAAGAATCTTGCAGAAAACAAATCAGCTGACTCACTTCTGCGCATGCCCTCGTTCAACTTTCTTGCATATTGCAGATAGAATTGCAAGCTGTAAAACGGGCTTTAGAAGACTATCCATCATCCATCTGGAGCAGCCCTATATAGCCAATCCCAAGAACATTATTGGTCAAAAGCCTTAATCGGGAGCCTACTAGATAAGGGGAAGCGCAAAAGATCTAATCAGGGACGTCCATAACTTTACCAATTAACAGCCCAACCATCACAATCTAATCTCAACGACATCATTTAAATCAAATGATCCAGACTTTGACAATGATAAATTATTTGTAACACTAATCAACAGGAAATTTTATATTGGTTCACTAATGTATATCTATCATTCCTAGATATTGAAAACGTACAAGATCATGGAATAAAATTAACACGAAGTATAACTTTATAACGATTCCAAAATTCAATTTTCAGCATTTGTGGATTCTGATTCTCTAAATAGTAATGGATAGAGGAGAGTGGGAAATAAGAAAACATAATGTTGTCGGCTACTTACTGTACTGTCTTTAGCATCCGGACAAATGTTCCACCTTGCGTAAAATTAATGAATTACGAGGTCCGAAGGAAACTTGATCTCATTAAACCTACTTTAAAGGAAAAGAAAATTTGAAATCGACAGTTGGAGAAGAAAATCTTAGGAAATTTAAAGGGGGCGACAGGGTTAGAGTTCGAAATTTTTCGGAGAAAAATACAAAATGGGAATATGGTCACATTGCAGAAAGAAAGGGGCTATTACATTATTTAATAAAACTGGACGATGGTCGTATATGGCGTTGACACATTGACCATCATATTGCAATCACACAAGTACCCCAAAACACGATTAATGATCCTGCAGTTCTTTTGGAAGAGAATATAGATGGAGCCGTCCAAAATACCAATGACAATATTCACTCGACCATACAAGAAGTAATAGATGAAGAAATTCAAACCACTAGTACTACTCTACAAGAAGAATCTGATGAAGACATTCAGAATACTAGCAATACTATACAAGAAGAATCTAACAATAAAAAAAAGGATGATGTTACTGAGGAAAGGGAGACACAAGATCAGAATTCATTTATTCTACAAAACACCATGACTTTTAGAAGATCTAAACGCAAAATTAAGCCAGTTCAGAAAATGAATTTATAATGAAGATTTACGAGGAACGACTGTAATGTCTTCAGCATCCGGTATTTTTGTACCTTTTCCCTTTACCAACTGGTAAAGGTAGAGTTTGGAGTGTTATCATTTTGTCATAATTGTTGAAAATATAGAGTTGACTTGAAAAGTAAAGCATATTATTACATAATTATTACTTACGTTCCACTAACGTCCACTTCAGAAAATAGGCCTCCAAACAAACCTCCAGCGCCGAGTCCCAAAAATTTTGCTTCAGGCGCCGATCTTGTATCTTCGGCAACTGGGTGACTGTTGCAACATAGAATCAGGCAGCAACAAGTCAGCCATAGACTTATGGAGGTCAGCTACGGATTTTAAGGATAAATTATACCTACAAGCATTTAGCTAATAGACAGGAAAACGGTTAAAGCTATACGAGGTCGATCAAAATATACAATATTGTGTTTAGTTCACCAGGAAGTGACACAGACTAATATTTCAAATGGTACCTACCTACACCCTATCTGTATATATTTTTGCATTTCTGGATTTTAGAAACTAGAACATAATAAAATGTATCATGTAGCATTAATAATTAGTGAGAATCTGAGAATTTAATATGCCTTATGCATATTACTGTGGGTATTTTATTCTACATATATCTACTATAGATTTTGAAAGTTAATTGTTTTTTCTTGTGCTATCAAAACAACGATTACAGGGTGTTTCAAAAAACAACTCAATTGGACATCAAAATTTTTGGTTTTCGATCCCAAAGCATATTTATTGATGGGAAAGAAACCGTCAAAGTGTCCGAAATGTTAATTTCCAACTTATTTTTTAGGAAAAACTTCTTGGACATTATCCTTGCAAAAAATGCAACGAATATACAGGGTGTCCCGTTGGTTGCCAGTTGTTCTACTACCAGACACAACGGGTAACGACATAAACGGACGAAAAAATGAAAAATCTTGTTGAGTTTAATGAGACCTCGTAACTTTCACCAATTCTGCCATGCACTTCTTTGAAGTATAGCCTGCATAGAGATGTTAACAAAAGACTTAGGTATAGGTACCTACATTATTATAACTTACCGTTGTAATTTTCATTGTAACGATTCTTAAAAACTGAAACTCTCTTCTTTAGATGCAGATGAATATTCGTAGACTGTCTTAAAAAATTATACCAAAATAAATTTATAGCTTTTTTCGAGAAAAGAACATTTCCATCTTCTCATTCCCGAAATACCTTATACTAATTGGTGTCTATTTTGATAATCATGTATGAATATCTTTATTTTTATTGCAATAATAAGTGTGTATTACATAAATGAAATTTCGGTTGTTTTTATTGTGTAACCAAATTATATGCTAATAAACGAGAAATTCAATGATCATATATTTGGTTTAATAAAAACTTTCAAGAACCTCAAATACTTATAGGCCCTGATTCTGCATTCGTTTCATCAATTTCTTTTAATGCATTCAATAGGTAGGTACCTTATAAATTTGAATTTATTCAAGAATTCAGCCCCTCTGGGTTATTGCATTATTGATATTCAAAGAAAATTTCACAACGAGCACCGGGTACTAAATCTTAAAATTTCTCCGATTAAATAATCCAAGAAAGGTAAGGCTCAGCTTGCTATTAATCACAAGGGTCTTTGGCTTGGGGTTTCGAGAAAAAATTCAGATTCGTGTTGAAACTGTTGGATTGAAGACGACGATAGTGAACAATTTTGCTTCGTGAGTGCCAGTTATAATAAATAATAATAGGATGAAAAAGGTAAATTAATTACAATTAATTAAAACTAACTCATTACTTATAACTTCCAGATAATATTTATATTTGCCTTAACATTTGCCAGTATAATAAATTTATCGCAGACTGTGCCAGTACCCAAAAAGCAACAGTCCAGCTTTCTGGACAAGTCATTTGGATGGTAACTATTACCTTATATTTCTTAATGTTTTCGTTATCATTATTATTTTTTTTTAAGGTGGCCAAGTGGCAATAATGGTCACCACAACCATAACCATCATGGAGGTGGAGGCGGTCCAGGGCTCATTCAAAACTTACTGCTGGTTTATGTGGCCCAGCAAGCATTAAATTATTATTTTGGGGACAATGGGGTTTTGGTGGATCAAGGAGACTGTCGGAAAAAGAAGTGTTAAGGATAAGAGAAAAAGACTAAACTAATTGAGGGATGGTTACTTAACTTATTGTTAAAATACGTACACAGATTTTAGATCTTTAGTGATTTTATATAGGATTTTGGAAATCTTCACACGATTTTACAGGTGATTTTGGAGGATTTTAGGGGATTTTGTTTAGAGGATTTTTAGAGATTTTAAAGAATTCCTGGAGATTTTAACGGAAATTTGGGGATTTCAAAGGATTTTAGGAGATTTTTCAAGATCTACTGTCAAATTTTTCATTTTAGAGTGATTGGAACTGCCTATTTCAAAGATACATAGCTGGAAATTAATATGAAAGATGTAACATAGAATAAAAATAAACATTTTATTTTGAAACATAAATCAGAAGTTTTCTTTTGATGTTGGAGCAAATCGATATTTCAAAGTTTACAAAAAAAACATTTTGCTATTAAAAATTTGGAGTTTTTCTTCTACTCATTTACGACATAAATCTCATTAGCCAAATATTTTACTGAAAAGGAAAAATGCTAAAGTCACTCAAAATGCAATTAGCAAAGTCATTATCTTTAAATTTTGGTAATTATTCTATGTAAGTTAAATTTGTTAAAAATTGCATATAAATAGTAGAGAATTTCAGAAATACGTTACTTCAACTTTAAAGCTTCAGCAAGTTACAATCAACAGCCTAGAAAAACTATGATTTCTCCAAGGGTAAGTACCTACATTTTCTTTAAAAAATATTAGTGTTGTATTAATTTTTGTATTTCTTTTTAGGTAGTACTTTTGCTTATTGCAGTACTCGTAATGGGTTTTTTGATCACTGAGACAATTGCGTCCCCAACTCTGATAAAAACTTATGAAAGACCATATGTAGTACATCACGTATACCATGAACCTTATTATCCAGTCTACCATAAGCCCGTTTACTACAAACATAAATATTTGGGTTAATTTATTGTACTTACTTTTAAATTTTTGTATACCACATTGTATTATAACATGTAAATTTTATAATAAATAGGTATTGAAAAAAAAAGTTACCTACTTGCTTTATTAATGAGTGTGCTATAGAAGGTATACCTACCTTCAGTAATATTTGGAACCTATTTTTTTTCAAGTACATTTCATTTATATATCATATCATATAATTTATCTTCAAATTTTTGACGATTTTTTTTGAAGATTAGGTCAAGTATAGTATTTACAAAGTCAGTTCAAGCAAGGTAAAGGTAAATTACAACTGGTGACTGAATATTTTCATAAGAAATGCATTGCCACTAGTCAGCCACCAGTTGCAAATTACCTTTACTTTCCCAACTAGCATCAAAGTTATAGAAACCCTCACTGATCCACACTGCTACTATGATTGGATAAAAAAATAGTAATTGGTACTAAATAACTTACTATGAAGTTTAAACCTCTAGTAAGTCAGAAGATTTAGTGGAATTTCCGTAACACTTACCCAATTTGATGACTATATAGTGTCATAACTATATGTCGTTACATTGTGATAAGTTTCAGGGTTGCTGGAACCGTGGGGCGTCAAGGTTTAGCTACTTATTCGATAACAAAACTTTAAAGTAAATAACTGTCATCGTAACGTGAAAAATTCAACTTTTAAGTAGGCGTGACTACTAAGTATTTTTGAAGGTAACCACAACCACAGAGGGACAATAGAAAACACTTTAGAGTTCGCCACTTCCAAGTAACATTGTAAGGTAACCGATTCGTGAGTGCCACTTATGCATAGGTAAATTCTACTTTAACGAATCTAGAGGTAACTTCAACGTAGCATTGAATAATATACGCCATGTTTTATAGAAAATTTAAGACGCCATTTTTTGGAAAATTCCACACCACGATATTGGATTCTTGGTCTTAATAATTGTCAGATTCCAGAATTTCATTTTCATTTCGAATATCTTTTGGACGTGGCTTTGCCATTTCAAATCTTCAGATATCCAATCGGTTCTTATTATCTAATTGCAACCAGTAGGAACCCAAGCAGCATCAAAGTAGCGGAAACCGAGATCGGAAGTTTAAATAAGTCGATGCTACGTAATTATCACTAAGGAAACGACTGACTAGTTTTTTCTACTTTTATCTAGACTTTTTGGTAATTCTGTACCTACTTAGTTATTATTACTACAATTTGGAACTTAATAGTTTCAGTAGGTACTTCTAGGTACCTTTTTGAAGTTTCTGGAACGGGAAAATGTTACTACCTCTATAAAATAACTTAAAAGTCGCCAAAACTTTGAAGTAATATTCGATAATCTTAGTGACTTTGTCTTGTTACTCGTATATCACTTCATAGTTTTTATTACTTATGGTAGGGTTGAAAGTAACTACGACTTGAAATTCCTTCAAAGTTATTTAGTACTATATAGAGTGAAGATAGGTAAAGTTAAACATGAAAATATTATTTCCATCATGGTTTAGGAGACTGAATAATGATGAGAGATACAATTAAGCTCTTTGCAAATATGTAAGACAAAGAAAAGGCCAATACGCCCAAGTAAAATAAGCAGGAACAAATCTTATAAGATAAGATAGCGGTTACAGTGCGACGTGCGACCTACCGTTATAAGTTCCGTGCAAGTAATTTTTACATAAATATCACCATTAAAATGTTCCCCATTTTGGTAGTAGGCACAATGGGCAATAACGAGTGAACAAGACTAATACTAATACATCTAAATTAGACACAATAAAGTATAGGTACCTTTTTTTTTTTTGGCCAAAAAATCAAAATCAGAATTTCCCGAATTTTTTCTCACTACGTCATAGAGGAGGTCCAGAGAAATGTCGGAACCCATTTTTCCCCCCTCAATTTCCCGTTTTCCAAAAGTTTCCGGCCCTTTTCTATACCCCATAAAATGCAAAATCGAAATATTTCGAACGTTGGAAAAACAAAAATTTCAATGTACCTATATAGAAGAGGTCATAATAAGCAGAAAAGCCATTTGGCATTTTTCTATAGGACTTAAGAAGCCCAGAAAAAAAAAACTAAAAAAAGAAAATGAATAATAGGGATGCAGGCTATTCCAGCCTGACATGGTCTTATTAAATGAGCCATAATTCTGGAACGCCTAGATCGATGTCAACGAATCATGTTTCATTCGATAAAGAATTAAATTGCCCACAAAATGACTGTATTTATCAAGAATTTTCTGGTTTCCAAGTTATTAGCCTTCATCAAATTT